AACAGAGGAAGAGGAAGGCCTCCTCTGCGTTGGAAAGACCAGGTGGAGAAGGACTTGGCTTCACTTGGCATTTTCAATTGGCGTCAGTTAGCACAGAAGAGAAATGACTGGCGTGCTGTTTTGGACTCGGCCAAAATCGCTTAGGCGGTTACAGCGCCAAATAAGAAGAAGATACGCCAGTTTTATACATGGCCGTTCACTCCCATACTCATGCATGGCGTATGAGTAACATTTTCCATGTTAAAGGTTGAACTTTTCATTCGTAATGCAAACTTAAAATTAAAATAACTTGGGAAAATAACCTAGTCTAAAAAAACGGTATACAGATCCGTAATCTACGACCCAAAATTACGCCCGTGGCGGTGTTTTTTTTGTTATTTAAGCGTCGCTACAGTGTTACCAGCAAATGTTAGTTTGAAGTCTGCTGAATGAAATCGGGAAAATCTTTATAGCTTAGAGAATGTTTGTACAAATAAAGTTTGGAGTAGCTCTTTTTGAAAAGCGGAAAATATAGTTTGGTTTAGATCAGGCATAATTGACATAAAAAGCATATGCAATCATTTTTTTGCAGCACCGCGTAATACTCGTACTTTCCAGTATTTTAAAGGCAAACGCGAAAAGTAAACCAAAATCTAATTGCTTTACTTTTTTTACCTCTTCCTATTTGTAAAGTGAATAGACCAACAGTGGGCAAACGCGGTTCTTTGAGCCAAATGCGGCCCTTTGCTCTTTGCAAAGCGCGGCTTTTTTTTACTTTCTCTTTGCTTAGAACATGTTGGCCCTTTTTACTTTTTAAAATAGATATTTCTTTGTTTTTGTTATTTTATGGCCTTATAGCAATTATATTCAACATTTATTATTGAGCTTGAGGCTGTTTTTAATGAAAAACTTATTGTGGAAAAGCAACAATCATTTGAAAAAATGGTAGAAGTGATAGCTATTTCGTAAATCACCACATTTTCTCATCACCACCACACTTTTGCAAATTATTGTTGCTTTTCCACAACAAGTTTTTCATTAAACACGGCCTCAAGCTCAATAAAAATTGTTGAATATAATTGATATAAGGCCATAAAATAACAAAAACAAATAACTTAAGAACGAGCACACCTTAAAATTAAACATTCTAATAATAGAAATATTAACAAAATACGAAATATGAAATAACACAAACGGCAATAACTCAAATTTGTGTTATTTCCCAATTGAATGTGAAATAACACAAATTTTCATTATTTCATTTCTCGTTGAGCAATAAGACCAACTTCTTATCTTAACAATAGGTACTCACCTAGTTACATTTGACAAAAAGTAGTACATGAACAAGTTAAATGGACGGTTTTGTAAATATTAAATTTTGAAAGTGCCCAGAATGAGAAGAAAGATTTTGACACTGCCTTCTTTGAAAATTTGTTTATAAAATGTGACTATAAGGCAGCCGAATGTTAGAAAATAAAGCGAAAAAGCTGTTTTATTACTTCACCTGTTTATTGCGCCATTCATCCCACCTGCTAGTACCGAGTATACGTTCAAATTTAGAAATCTGAGAGTAGGTAAAGTTTTATATATTTTTACATAACTATTTCGGACCACATGTTCCCTTCGTCTTCCTAAACAAAATCAGCAGTTCGGAAATAGTGAAGCAAGTGATAATAATGCAGAAATTTTAACTGAAGATAAAACTCAAAACAATATTCTCTGTGCTATATGCTGCGTTCCATGCAAACATTTTAAGGTTTTCCAGCAATTTTTTCAACATATTAGAAAGCATACATACAAAATTCATACAAAAGCGCTATGTTCAATTTGGCGCGCAGCTATTGAAGACAATATTTTTTTAGACTAAATAAGTAAAAATATTTTGTGAATATTACTTTCTTCATATGAATTATATCACATTTTTGTTTGATTGTATTTTTGAAATAAACGAAGTTCTTTTTCTGTCAGTAAACTGCTTTTGTTACAAATAGTATAAATAAGCAATGGGAAATAAGGCAAAATTTGTTTTATTTCCAACCTTTGTTTGATATAAATCGAACAAGTTTTGAAAATAGGATTTATAGACCTTTAAAACGATGTAGAACAGTATATTGTTGAACTTAGCTTGTGGGGAGTTTTCATCGGTTAAATTTTAATGAGTCCCTATTTTTCTTGATTTTTTGAACTTTGATCATCGTTAATTTCAAAAATGTCTACGAAAGTTGATAAATATGCGGTATTGCATATAGATGCTCTAGGAATATTTCTGCATCAAAAAGAAAATTTCGAAAAAAATGTCGCTTACGTTGTTTTGGCGGTTAGGGCTCGATATGTAAATTCGTAACTTTTAAGCCTTTTTCTCGAGTTTTTTGATTTCTTGAGTTATGACCGCATTGAAGTAAATGATGGTTATGTTCATTTACCCCATGATTCAATAAATAAAGGTTTGCTCATTAGTGACATTAGAGTTTTGACACTCCCCTAACTCCCTTACAAAATCTTTGCACACACACACTCGAACCCACACAAAGTGCCTTGCTAAGGGAGCCCATTTTGTCACGAGGGAGCGAGAAAAATGTTTCCTGAGCAAACCTTTTATTACTGAATCATGCATTTCATATTGGACAATGTTTATTGGGTATTGTTTTTTTTTTAATTTTTCAATGTCATTGAAAGAACGAAATTATTTATGTAATAAAAAAAAGAAGTTTTTATCGTCGATATTTTTTGGTATTCGGGATACTTACTTAGTACTATGTACTTGTCAAAAAGTATCAACTTTTCGATACTACTCAGTACTCGTGAAAAGTATCGATATTCTGTACTCGATACTCGTATCGTTCTATCACTTATTTTAAGCTTTTCCACTTCTCAAAATAAGCATGTAACTAACTCAGTAACCTGCAGCTGGATTCCAACATTCGCCATTCCTAATTGTGACCGCCGAAAATTACCAAAAGAATAACATGCTACTTGTATTTATATACATGACACTCAAACTGCCAGATTTGGCTGATACTTTTAGTCCCACTGCTTCTCGTTTAGAAAATTTTAGCGACGATTTTAGCGTACCGATTGTCATAATTCTACTTCAGGTCTACCCTAAGTTGATAATAAATAAAAAATAAACTCCAGATGAGTCGTCCGGAGGTAGCGTCAGACTAGGCCGAACATGCTTTGAGGTGTCATCAAGTTATTACTTTAATAAGTTCTGAATTTTTTGCACATGCAGCTATTCACGGGTTGATCGAGGAGATGGTATGTATTTAGGCACTATGCGTTAGTACAAAAATCTGTAGTTAACTGCCGATTCTGAGTTAACTACGCACTGTGAATTTGGCTCTTAATGATTTGCTCTTAATTAGTTCGAAAGTGTACTGCCTCATCACAGTGTGTCGAAAATGGTCTACAAAATTCAAATGATATTTTTTAAACCCACACATCCATTCAGTTATCGCCACTACTGGGTTTTCGTTCAACGTTCTTTCGTACCAACACACTTCACGTACTATGTAATACATCGTCGTTAATACTGTAAAATGTTCCATGTCAAGTATTACTTCTTGAGCTTAAATGATCGATTGCCTGTATATAAACGCATCTGTAAATCTCTCTACATTCATTCACGAAGACCAATCTATCCGCTTTCGCCTCATGATGTTGAACAATTAATAGACGTGTTAAAGTAAAGTTAACAAATCAACTCCAGCACAAGAAGTAATAATTAACATAGAACATTTTGAAGTATCACAGACGTTATGTACATGCATATACATAGATATACAAACTTCAATATACACGAAGCGCTTACACAATACCGACGCCGCACAGTGCGCACGCCGGATGTCCGCTGGCGGACAATGGCCGCGGGCCATCATCGTGCTGCAGTGCAGCCGTTGCCGCTTCCATTTCCGCTTTATATTCCGGGGTTTGCAAGGCCGGACACACGGGCATAATAATGACACGCGGATCGACAGATTCGGCCGGTGGCGCTGCCGAAGTCGGATTTGCTTTGGCCGATTGAGGCAGACCAGGTTTTGGTGAAGCATTCGAGGCCAAGGTGGGTTGCTTGGATTTTATTTCCACTGGTTTATCGAGCGGTTGGTTTTGCTGTGGATGTTGTTGGTGAGATAGCGGTGTACGGCGTTCATTGCCGCCGATGGCGTGGCTCTGGGTCCAATAGAAATTCGCGGGAGACGGTGGTTCTGTTTTCGAAAATGATGTTAATCAGCAATTAGATCAAACAAAATTTGTTTGTAATAAAGTGGATATCTGTTTCGTATATTGGTTAATCCCCTTTTCCGAAGATACGTAATCCTTTCGCCCCTAATTTCCTAATTCTAATAGTCCCATGAACTTGTTTGTATTTTAACTACATTATTTATTCCCACGAAAATACAAAGTGGGTCGAATGTACAAAGTTCTCATACGACTTCTATACAAACATGCTAATGTGCGCACATACACTCATAAAAACATCCATGCAGGAAAAGTCGAAAACACGACAAATTTCTATATGTAGGTAGAACCTGTTGCCAGATATTTTGATATCGATGGTCCTCTGTTAACTCAAAATTTAATTTATTTCAGTAGAGCTAATTAAAGCCTTTGCGTTTAATAATTTAGCAATAATGTGTCTTGAAGTCTTTTTGTAGGGAAAAGTTTTAAGCTTTCAAATTGTGACTGCTTTGCAAAGACTGAAAAAGACGAAATAAGTATCTAAGTCGTCAAGCGAAAATAAGTCCATAAGTATTATTGAATAACGGCATAAAAGGAAAAAAATATTAATTTTCCTACAAAAGCATTACTAACTGATCGACAGTAGTTAGTGTTGCCTACTTTCTGACAAATCCAACAATTGCGTCTCCTGTCGGATTAATAGCAGGTAAGCCTATGTCGATTGTGAACAGGAAAATATGGTTATTTATCAACATGAAATTTCGAACTGTACCGTTATGGCAGAGGACCATCGATATCTATATACATATGTACATGCATTAGTGGACGAGTTGAACAAACGTAGGAAGCAACTTTCTTTTTATACATATAATACGTTTTAATGAAAATTGATAGCAAGAATGGCCAATTTCTGATATACTTTACATATCGTCACCTTAGTACACAAAGGCCCTAACCAACAGTTTTTTTATTTTACAGGAGAAGCAGAAAACATTATAAATGTGTATCGAAAATAGGTAGGGCTTTTTAAAAGTGGCATGTAACTCCGTTGTGTTTAGTACTAACACTTCAAAATTTCTATTGAAAGTTTACTTGAATACATCCTACCAAATCCTGGAAAAACACAGGTAGGGCCTTTGCGAATTAAGGTAACGACATATAGAAAATTTTCGGTACAAATCGTTGCTCAAAGGATGTATGTATATTTAATTGCTTTTATTTATATGCCAACCAAGGCGAATTTTTACAAGGTGGTATCGGCTGAGCAAAAAAAAAATTACAACAACAAATTATACACACAATGGAAAAAAACGTCCACAAAAAGTACAACAAACACATGATTTTGACATTCAGAAGGGCCGCGGCGAATTCTAGAATTACCACCCTGTATAAATTCACCTCGATGCCAACGCTATTGTGGGCAACGCAAAATTTCAGTAAATTCGCTTCAACATTGATGCGGTGGAATTAACTATCCTAGTACAGGTAGAGAAAAGAATCGTCATACAACCTTTTCATAAACGATTTTCTTTTGTAAATAGTTTCAAAATTGGGACCAATCAGAATCTAAAGGACCCTCAACTGGCAAAGAAAGAAATAAAAGTTCATAAAAACATTTTAACATTATCCAAAAATTACAGCAAATGGTTTTTTTTCAGTTGCTTCGAACGTTATTATATAGTTAATTTAGTGCATTGAAAAGTTGAACTGTGACTTACGTTATGAGGCGTTCACACTCATGGCAAATGTTCTGGCCGGTCGGCAATCCGCCGGTACTTGGAGGCTTTGAGGAATTTACCGGAGCGCTTACATGCCTTGTAGCAGATGGCTGATAGTGCTGTTGTTGTTGCTGTTGTTGTTGAGGTTGTTGTTGCTGATGGTGTAAGTGTTGGTGGTGGTTTTGGTGCTGGTGTTGGTAATCTTGTTGGAAGGCTGTGTAATTTCAGGTTTTTGTGTATAGTTGTGGAGTTAAAGGTGTTTGTAAGCCAGATATATGCGAAGATGAGTTGTTGAGAAGTTTGATGCCAAAGTTTATGAAAGTATAAACATGTAACGAAAAGATTTAGAAGAACACATACACTTTGTTAACAAAATGCAACAAATAAGTGCACAGCAGATGTTAGTGAAACACTTGCCGACAAATTAGCAATTGCGATTTTTTGCTTACTTTCATATACCCAACTAACAAAAAATGCATAAACATAACTGACTTATAAACGTAATCAGATACCTATGTGTATTAGATTATATTAGTAATGTAAATTAATATAAATATGTTTATATCGACCAAAAACAAACGCTATATAGCTACGTTGGAACTACTCAGGTTCAAGAGTAAACACCTTTCAAGGTCAAGTAAATAAATTTTTAAAAATTAATGCTGCCAGATCTACGCTTCTAGAAATTTGACATCTCATTTGCTAATTTCCTTCATCAAGTGCTTATTCTGTGAATTTTTATAGAAGTTCCTTAAATGCCTTAAAAACAACCTTTTTATTTACTCAAAAATACTGTCTGCTGTAAATAGATTCTCGCCATTATTTATCGTGTACAGTATTTGAGCTAAGGCATAATAACATGAGTATATTTCATTACCTGGAGTCGATTGTCCAGTTTCTTCTTCGCGTAAGAACTTCAATACCTCTGACTTGTCGGGCTGATATTCCTTTTCGTTTTTCTTGAAGTTGACACTGAAAAAAGTTTAATTTTATTTAAGTACTCAATTAATAATAGACTATATTATCTATGTGCAAGTTTCAATGCAAGCTAAGAGTTTTCTACAAGGGGCGGTGGTTACACATCAGGAGGTCGCCTCAGCCAACCGTAATGAAAATTAGTTGCCCAACAAAGTCTGAAAAGACGAGCATGATACAATTTTCAAACATTCGTGCGCTTCTAAACCTCGACTTTCACCTCCCACCAAACAGTTCCCATCTCATCATGCCTCAAATCCGCAACCGAACAAAGGCATTTTGTTACGTGCAATGTGAAATAAAATTAAACGTACCTTAGTAAAAGAATTATATGTGAATCAGTAACGTTCACATAACGGTTGTTTGCAACAGCCAAATCGAATCGAGATAGATATAGACAGATTTATACATAAATGCTCAGAATGCAAAAAGAAATCGATGAAGCCGTCCCGTCCGTCCGTCTGTGCGCATGATAACTCGAGTAAAAATTCAGATATCTTAAAGAAACTTGGTAACTGTACTTCTTTTGACAATAACCACGGCTACTCCCGATATAAGGTAGTTTTCAGATATACGAAAACTGCGATATTTTAGTGATTACTGAACCTAATTTATTCAAAATTTATATCTCTTGGGGAAAAATAAAAATATTATGAATTTTTGCCAAATAGTCGCAGCCACGACCACATATGATTACTCGGTAAAGGCACCACCAATTTCTCCCAAATTTGGCACAGTTATTTGCCTTGGTAAAACATTCCAAACGGCTGAAAATTTTTAAAATCGGACACCATTTTTTAGCAGAAAATACCAGGGATCATAGTGTCCAGGTTGGGCGATTTAGCGCCAATTTGGCAATTTATTTTATTTATTTGAGAAGATTACAGTATAAACTAAGTTTATATCTAATTGCAAAAAGGAAAGCAGTAACAGCAGCAATGGCCTTCAACTGCTTGAGTGGTGATAGAATGCCTATTTATATAGGTGTGTTTATCAATATAATGTTAATTTAAATGCTTTCGTACATATAAAGCTTATGTGAAAGAACTATATCAAATAATAAAGTCTGGCCAATTTTAAAAATGTTAAAATGTTTTCAATATTGGTAAGCGTGGGGTTGGATAGTAGGGATAATGGGTTGGTATTTTGGAATGAAAGGTATCGGGAGGCACTTAGTTTAGGGCAGTCGCATAAGTGGTGTAAGATGATATTCGTCGTGATGTGGCGTCGAGTATGCAATCGCAAGGATGGGTTCTCGAGACCCATCAGGTGGCCGTGGGACAACTTCGAATGTCCTATTCGCAATCTTATTAATTTTGTACAGTCTAATCTGCTTATCGCNTAGTTTAGGGCAGTCGCATAAGTGGTGTAAGATGATATTAGCTGTGGGGTCGAGTATGCAATCGCAAGGGGATGGGTTCTCGAGACCCATTAGGTGGCCGTGGGACAACTTCGAATGTCCTATTCGCAATCTTATTAATTTTGTACAGTCTAATCTACTTATCGTTTCGGGAATGTGACTTAGATAATCGACAAGTGAAGTGCGATTGGTGTTGATGGCTCTGTACCAGTTTGATGTGAGGTTCCAGTTTCCTTTGTTTACTTGTTTTTGTATAGATTTGAGATAGTGTTTAATGTCAGAGAAGTTATGGTTGGGTGTTGATATTAGTGGAGTAGAGTTTGCGAGTTTGGCTGCGCTATCTGCTGTTTCGCTGCCAATTATTTGTACATGACCTGGAATCCAGATGAGGGTTATCCTTGGAAATGTGTCAATTCTTATTTCCGTGCAGTAAAAGTTACTATTTTGTATGTTTGATATGGCTTTAAGGGAAGATAAGGAATCTGTACATATGGCAAATTTTCCTTGACTGCTTATTGCATACTTGGTTGATTCATGGATAGCGACTATTTCAGCCGAAAAAAACAGAGCTATATTCAGGAAGTAGACCTAACTTGATAATGTGATTCTCATCGGTTACACTGTAGGAAGCAAACCCACTTGATTTTGAACCATCAGTATAGATGAAAGAGTGGAGAGTATATTGTTGTTTTAGGTCAAGGAAAAGTGGACGGAACTGCAGGGGCGGTGTGGTCGATTTCGCGTGATTGTGCAGGGCGAGGTTAATTGATTCCGATTTTAGAAGCCATGGAGGGGGGACAGATCGTTTGGAGGTTAGTTTGATTGGGGAGTTGGCAATTTCGAGCTGGGAGCAGTTTTTTATAATTCTTAGTAGTGTTGATGGGATCTTTTGTTTTTGTGAAGTTTGTTAATTATGTGAAAAAGTGACGTGTCTCGACTGTGGAGTATTGACTTGGATAGTTTATTAAGCTCTAGCTGTCTATTGTTTTCGAAAGTAAGAATGCTAGCTTCAAAAAACATATTGTTTATTGGGGAGGATCGAAATGCTCCAATGGCGAATCTTATTTCTGCATTAAGGGCGGTTTTAAGTTTACCGAGGAGGGATTTGGAGCAGAAACCGAAAATATGTAGGCCGTAATTTAATTTGGATATGACAAGGGTTTTTACTAAATGAAGTAAGGAAAGGGAAGAACAGTTGAATTTATTGCTTGATAAGCATTTTATAACAGCTAATTTATTTGTGAGTGTTGTGTTGAGGTATTCTTTATGTTTATTCCACCTATATTTATTACTGAAAATTACATCAAGAACTTTTAAATTGTCCACTTCTTGTATATGGATTTTATTAGCTGAGACTGTACAATTTCAGTTTATTTTGCGACAAATATGCATAAATTTGCATTTTGTTGCAGATAACATTGCGCCTGAGTATTCACAGCAGGTGGCAATTTTTTTTGGATATTTGCGCGTAAAAATTCAGGAAATCGCCTTTGGCGATTTTTTCCCTTTAATTAAATTTTTTGTGCGCTATCATGTAAATGCGTCGAAACACATCATAAGTAGGTAATGAGTTCGAGTCAATTTGCGAATAGGTGCGTTCCAGCGATTTTTGGACTAAAACCTGTAGAACTGTCAAAAAGCAAAATATCTCTCACAAAAGAGAGCAACGGTCAAAGAACTGAGAAAAACTGCTGGAACGCATAAAACCATTTTTCCTACAGCTATATAAATGTCAGATGTTTGTTTACAGATTATTTATTCAGACAAAAATTCTTCCACACAACATTTTAGTTCTCAAAAGATTTCGTTATTTTGGTACAATTGGGTTCTATACTGCTAAAAATATTTCTTATAAATTGCATCAGCTCTTTCGCATGTTGTTTACGAATGCAACACTGCTCTTAGTTCTACAGTTTTCATAAATTTTCAGGAAGAAAAACTTCGGACTAAATCCTGTTACTTCATACTGAGAATAAGCATATTTTACTCTCACGAAATTGTTGAATATAATTGTTATAAGGCCATAAATAATAAAAAAAAACAAATAACTTAAGGACGAGCACACCTAAAAGTTAAACACTCTATAAATAGAATTATTAACAAAACCAACAACCACATGATAAAATTTAAACAGCACTGGAACAGCTGCGCTTGATTGTAGTTTGCTTAACAAATGAAAAAGTGGAAAAAGCAACAATAATTAAGGCGAACTTAGCACAGTGCGTAGGCAACTGACTGAGTCAGCTGGGGTCGTCGGTTCGAATACCGCTGAAGAAGTCTGATAGGGAAATGTGGTGATATCCGAAATAGCTATCACTTCTACAATTTTTTCAAATTATTGTTGCTTTTCCACAATAGCTTTTCATTAAAACGTCCTCAAGCTCAAAAAAATGTTTGAATATAATTGTTATAAGGCCATAAATAACAAAATAAAATCAAAAAAATTGCTCTCAGTTACATGAAATTACTGGAAATTTATCTGCTGGAATGCTTTTCGGACTAAATCCTACAAAACCTGCAAATCGTACTGCTGCTGGAACGCCACTATTACAAAACCACCATTTGTGACCGCTGAATGTGAAATTTGCAATTTCATTTGTGGAAAGAGCTGATCTCGCCTCATTATAGCTTTTATTTTATTTTTAGCGCCGAGCGCTTAAAAGTGGATTGTGCGATTAATCAATTAATATCAGTTACAATAAATTTATTAGTTGCGCAGTCCTATTGGGAAATGTGTTAATACAATAATTTTTAAAAGTATGAGTAAGTGATGTAAGTGATTTGTGTTATTTGTTATTACTCTGAAGGCATTATATTAGTTTTCAGTTTTAAAAAGATCGGCAAAAATCCTCCGGCTGAACCCTCCACGAGGGTGCTGACTGGAAATGGGCACTACAGAGGATTCTGTGCGATGTCAGAATAGTGCTCAGCTCAGGTACTATGTGCTAAACTCCCTAATAGCTAAGTCATATGGAAATGGTTTTTGATCGTGGCTTGGAGGTCTGAAGGGGCTGGATAAAGGCGTCACGCGCACCGTACCGAGGATCAGCCAGGCTGGGGGCCCCTAAATAGCCCAGTCGCGAACGGAGCCCTCTGGGAGGCGGCCACACCCAGGATGTAAGTAGGCCTTACCTGGGCATCTTGGATCTCTGCCCGGGTGGACGAACCCCTTTCTCCGCATCCTGTAGGAACAAGTATGGACAATTATAAAAAACAGGAAACATTAACAACAAAAACAGCAACAACAAAAACCAAAACAAATTATAAAGGGACCGGCCCCCTTAAGGCGTCGGAAGGGTTTCGGCCCACTAAAGAAGGGACTCAAGCGATGAAGAGTACCTCCACCAGCCGTAGTGCGGTGACAAATAGCGGGAAACCAAGGCCAAGGGTGAAACCGGGCCAAGCTCTTGCAATAGTGAAGGAAAGCGGCGGTGGGGATGCTCAAAGGAGTCCACCCCGGGAAACTTCTGGCACCAGTGGATGCCAACCTGGCATGCAGACTGCCCTTCCGCGACACCCACTGCCTTCACGAGGCCTGACCAGAGGCCAGAGCGAGCTGCATCGGGCTATCGACAGAGAAAGCTGGCTGCACGAATCCTGCAAAGGTTCACAATAACGCCTGACCTGTGTAGCAAGG